CTCGGCACTGGTGAGGCCGCACCTCGAATACTGTGTTCAGTTTTGGGCCCCTCACTACAAGAAGGATGTTGAGATGTTGGAGCGTGTCCAGAGAAGGGCAACGAGGCTGGTGAAGGGTCTGGAGAACAAGTCTTATGAGGAGCGGCTGAGGGAGCTGGGGTTGTTTAGCCTGGAGAAAAGGAGGCTGAGGGGAGACCTCATCGCTCTCTACAACTACCTGAGAGGAGGCTGTAGCGAGGTGGGGGTCAGTCTCTTCTCCCAAGTAACTGGCAAAAGGACGAGAGGAAATGGCCTCAAGTTGCGCCAGGGGAGGTTTAGATTGGATGTGAGGGAAAAATTTCTTTCCTGAAAGAGTGGTTAAACATTGGAACAGGTTGCCCAGGGAAGTGGTTGAGTCACCACCCCTGGAAGTATTTAAAAGATGGGTAGATGAGGCGCTTAGGGATATGGTTTAGTGGGCATGGTGGTGTTGGGTTGACGGTTGGACTCGATGATCTTGGAGGTCTCTTCCAACCTTAATGATTCTATGATTCTATGATTGGCAACCAGGAGAGAGGTGGTTCTAGAGGGGGTTCGAGTCAGGGTGGAGAAACTGGTAGTTAGTGCCAGGCTAGAGGGAATCTTTGAGAGTGAATGTGAAATGCAATCTTGGGAAGAAGGGTAAGAGAACCTTTCTTCTTTGCATGATTCCTCACTGTAGAAGTCAGCCTCAGCCAGGTGATTATTACAATAATTTCCCAACTGTCAGAAAAAGTTGTCAGTCTCAAAGAGGGAAGAAACCAATTAAAGAATATTCAGGTAAGTTAGGTATGGTGGGTTTTTTCAGTTAACTGTTTCTAATTAGCTCTGTTCCAAGGTATTTAAAGATTAAACTGATAATATTTTGGAGCGATTAGTGTCTGTGTCTGTTATCTTGTGGAGAATGAGTAGAGGTACTGGAGAACGGGAGGAGAGTAGATATAATGCTGGTTTTTAAAGAGGAGGGAGAGAGAAGTGTTGGTTTTAGAGGTTAAAGGGATGTGCTGTCATCAGAGTTTCAGTCCTGGGAAAATACTGGAACAAGTAAATGCACACTGCATTTTTAACACCTGAAAGTACAAGAAGAATAGCCATCGGCACAGATTTGTCAAAAAGATACAGTCTCTTACTTCTACAGTGGCCTTGTGGACAAAGAAAAAGCCTTGAACGTTATATTTTGCTTTTTATAAGGCTTGGACACTTTCACACAAGACATGCTTTTAAGCAAGCTGGGAAATACGGTAAACATGCAACTACCATAGGCTGGGTGGAAAACTAGAAACTGTTTAAGAAGCAGCTCATTATAAAAATGAGAAGATTTCTTAAAAGGAGTTCTGCAGGGCTTTGTGGTGACTCAGTGTTTTTCAGTATTTCCATTAACGATCTGAATGATGGAATAGAGTGTACACTTATTAAATTTGCAACAATACCAAGCTGGGAAGGACTGCAAGTATGTTGCAGGACAGGATTAGAATTCAAAATAATATTGATAAATTGTAGGTATCATCTGGAAAAATAAGATGCTATTCAAAAACATCAAATGCAAGGTGTTTACACAGCAATAACAAACTGCACAAATACAGCATGGAAAATCGCTGGTTAGAGAGCAGTTCCATAAATGAGATTATAATGGATTAGATGTTGTGTATGAATTTACATTGCCATCTTCTCTGGGAAAAAAAAAATCCAATACACACAAGGAAAAGCAAGGACCACTAGATAGCAGATAGTTCCGATGGTAAGATGTGTTGAATAGTTGGCTTATGAATTGTGATCTCTTCACAAAATTAAATTAGTGACTTTTTGATACGTGAAGGTAACTCGGATACAGCTTTGTACTCAAAAAATTAGGTCATATGTAAGAAAACACACAGACTATACTCCCTTTTATGTAATTTCTGTTTAATGGTAAGGCTTAGGGGGGTTATTTATTTCTTTGTTTTGCATAAAGCATACTAATTTGCTTGATTGAGTCAGGAGAGTGTATTGAAAGAGACCAGACCCATAATAGATCAGGACTTGTACTGATTGCATACTAGACTGCAGGGTTGTAGCGAGGCTAATGTCATATACCAACTTCAGTTAATTTTTGAAGAAATATCAAACACGGGTCTTTAGATCCTCTAGCAATGAAAATATTCTCTTGAAATGTATTATTTATATGTAAGGTAACTTGTATTCTAGCTCTTTGAGTCCACAGGGCTTTGAAACTTTCCTTTCTGGGACTTTGCAAAATCCAGCCTGTCCTCTGTCTTATGTGTATTTTACCTCCTTGGTGTTACTTGGAAATTTTTGGATAAGCTTCGTATTCCAATTTCAATTTACAGTTATCCTTCTCCAGATCTCCTAGGCTCATCTGGAGATTTTTGGATGATAATACGCTTTGTAATGACACTGTTATATTGTCAAGCCTTTCAATACATTTTAAATGGTTTAGCTCTGTTAATTCTGCCCACAGACTTCTTTAAGGGCATTTACAGGTATGAATCTTGGATGATAGTGACTTTCTCAAGTTTCTGGTTTTCAGTCCTCACTGCCCAAACTCTGAGACTTTCTTTGCTGAAACTGTAAATTTCAGGCTTCTGTGAACAAAAGTGGTAAAATCAAAACGAAATACCCAGAAAATAACAGTACCTGGATTTAGCCACTTCAACCATAATTTGTAGCTTCTTCATTTTAGCATCATCTTCAGAAACCTCACTGGCTTTTTGTTGGCAATATATCTGTTTAGCTTTTTGGTACTGAAATTGCTTCTAATGTTTTGGTATGCTAATAGTACACGGTTCAACCCTTCTACTCCTTGTTTCTCATCATTTATATTAATACAGTGAACAGAAATTACTTTTTCCAATTTGCATTGATACAGTACGCTGATTATATAATTTCTTCCTGGGGCACCCTTTGTTCCTGAAGCTGAGCAGCACCTTCAGAATTCTTTAATTCTCTTCAGATTAATCCAATTGACCTTAAATTCTTCTGGAGTGTTGTATTTCAAGAGTTTCCAGTCCCATGTCCCACACCTGCTCTCACACACCAAATTTCCTTCATACTTCTCTCCTTTTAAGGCCTGAAGGTAGAAGGTAATCTCTGTGGTGTTTATGGATGGAACAGTTGTCTAAAATCTATATTTTGAATTTTTGAGTTGGTTTTAGATAGAAAGAGAATTAGCATGGAACATGTTTTTGTCTCTTAACAGCTATATACTGTGCTTAGTATTTAAATCACTAGAAATTTGTAAAGATTAACTGTTTAGCTTGTGGGACCCTGTCTGTGAGTTCAGGGGGTAGCAGATGAAGACGTGGTGGCACTGACTCAGTTTTAGGTTTACACTTGAGCTGTTCCCAGTTCCTTGTTTGGACCACGTCAAAATCCTTCTTTAGTGCACACACAAGTTTGTATTTGTGTACGAGTATTGCTGTATCCCATGAGAGGTAGACACTGCTGATGAACTGATGCTTCTGCAGAAACAATAAGGACCTTTATTTGTAAAGTGTTCTTAGCACAGAAGTATAGGCAATACAGGAAATTGTAGATGTTTGTACTTTAAATTTGAGAACATCTGCATTTACTGGGGAAAATGATGTTGCATTTAACTTGCTAGAATTAAATTTATGTGTAGTTATTGCTGATGTAAATTATGTATTCTGTTTGAGTTCTTTTGCTTCCTCCTTAACAGGCTGATTGGTACTAAAAGTCTGTGGTAAGGTTTATTTTATTTAACCATTTTTATTTTGCTTAAAACTACTGTCTCTTAAAAGAAATTTGATACTAGCAGGAAATGGGAGATTTTCTTTTTTAAATGAAAAAAAGACAAGCTGAACTGTAACATTACAACACAAGAGAAAAATGAATACTTGGAAGATTAATATGGTCTGAAGGAAGAGGAAGGACAGAGAAAATAGAGTAACAGTTGTAAGACGATCCTTGTAGTTTCATTCAACTATTTTCTTTCCTCTTCTTTTTTTCCAAATCCCCTCTACCAGTGCAAAAGAAAATAACTATGCTGTTTTTACATACCTATGCAAAATCTTTTTCTAGTGAATGTGTGCTGTACACGCAGTGATTAAATAGGCACTGTGTGACATCATTAAAGAACACATCCCAGAAATTTCTAGAATATACTGATAGACCAGCATTAGCTGGTTTTACTTTTTGGATGAAGGACATAATGTTTTTTCCTAACCTCTATAGACGTTTATAATTCTGTTTGTTTGTTAAATTGTAATACACAGCAATGTCCTTCACTTATAAAACAGCATTTTAGAACTAGGGAACAGTATCCCCCGTAAGAAGCACCATGATGTGATCTTTTTTTGGTAAGAAAGAAAAATCTGTAAAACTTTGTTTCTGGGTCTCACTTTTATGTCAGGCAACCTTCACCACTGATTATACTTCTGTTCCCTTTCACAACTCAAGGCCTTTTCCATAATGTTGACCATTTATCTAGACAAAATGACCCTCTAGTGCCCATTAGCACTTCTTATGAAATGGCAGCTAGGATGTGATGTGTTACCTACCTCCTGTGTAGAAGTCCCAGTGGCCTCTGAATGAAAGTACTAATCTTATTTGAAAGTGTATAGCTTGCTCCTGCAAGTAGGCTGTATTTGGACATGGAGATTGTTTCTTCCATTGGCAAACACTGATGAGGTTAAAGGGGTTTCAACAGTCTTATATATAGGGAGACATATTTATTCATTATTTTAAAATAGCTAAGAAAATCAACAAATAATAATCTCCTTCCTATTCTCCAGTTTATTCCAAATACCTATTAAAATATCACCGAAAACGTATACTGTTGAGACAGATATAGAAACGGATTTGATTTTCATGTATTTAAACTTCTGATATTCTTCAGTACCTTTGTCTGAGCAGATTAGCTCCTTTTTAGTCGTCTTTTCTGCGAATTTAAGGCCACCACTTTATATTAAAAATGGCAGAAATACTTATGGTGTGCTTTACTTTGTTTTGCTTTACCCTTTTAGCAGACAGATGATGCAGCACAGACTGATGGCCAGCAACAGACACAATCTTCTGAAAACACAGAAAACAAATCACAGCCAAAACGGCTTCACGTCTCAAATATACCATTCAGATTCCGGGATCCAGATCTTAGACAAATGTTTGGTGTAAGTACTCATACTTTATTTATGCTTTTTTATATTTGCATTGCAATAGGTATTTTATATTATAGGCAACCGTGAGAGCAGTATCTCTGATTTAGGCTGTTTAACCATTTTCAGTAAAGATTCTCTTTGCATTTATTTATAACCAAACATCTGATTTGCCAGTAACAACTGGGAAGAGAAATTCTACCGATTCTACTGTGTGTGATACAGATGAGTGTATTCTGTGTATTGTGCTGTTTTGTATTACATTCCAAAAAAGCTACCTACGTTGGCTTAAAATATTGAATGCATATGTATTACTGCTGTACCCATCTGGATTTATATGCCTGTATCTATTGATTTTTGGAAAGCATGATGTAAAATAGTCAATGCTTGACCTCATGAGCAAGGGACCCAAATCTACAGAAGTAAGACATGGGCTGAATTTAAGCAGCAGGTCCAGGAGTAGGAATCCTCACCCGTCCCCACAGGTATTGTAGGTCTATAAGCTTCTACAGACTTTGCCAGTAGTTTTCTATAAATCTCTCAATTTTTGCTTTTGCCTGGGCCATTAGCTACCTTCACGTGCATTGGCTGTGTTTCACACATCTCATACGTGCCATCAATTCTAGGCTCATAACCATGAGAGGATAGAGCTGGTTTCTTCTCCCTGCTCCAACAACTTTTAGGTTTATTTTGAAATGTCACTAAATAAAATCAAGAAATAGTACTTGATCAGCTATTAGAACCCAGCTTTTCCTTTTCCAAGTTAGTACTCTTAAGTATTTCTGTTCCTCTTGCTTGCTTATTTCTGACCCACTAAAACAATTCTCTTCTGCGTTAGTCTGTTATACAGTGCAGCATCTAGTACTTCATGGCACTACACGTCTCTCCATCTTTCATGTTCAGTTCAGATTTTTAAGTTCTTCTAACGTCTTTGTGAGTGAAGACATTGTGTTTTTCAGTATTTATTTGTATAAAGTGAAGGAAACAGTGCTGGAGGAAGAATCCTGGTATAGTATTGGTAAATGAGAGTGACTGTTTTGCCGTATCTGACTTGCTACAAGTAACCTCCCCTAAATGCAGCTTACAGCACATCAGCAAAATAGCAGAAGGCATAATAATTAACCCTCCAGGGAAAAAGATGCAAATTTATTTAAATTAAACAAACCACTTAAAATAAATGGATTTTATTTGAAAGTACACTAAATGAAAGAATTTTTTTTTTTTGAGGGATTGTAGTAATTTATAAGTGAATAAAAACTACACTTCTTTTCAATATTTCTAAGTCTTAGGTCTCAAAAGACTAACACTGGAGAATGGCTAGAGTTTTCCAGCTTTAGAATGACTTGGTAACAGTAAACTTTTAGCTTCTGAATTGATAGAAAAAAGAAATTTATGCAAGTGTGAGTTGACATATCTGATACGAAATATGGAAACGCTGCATCATGACCACGTTATACACATAGCTGATGATCTTTTTGCATGGACATAAATACAGCAGAGGAGGATTGTTTAAACTTTAAGTCAGTGTCTGCTTATAGGCTAAAGTTGCAGTTAAAACATTAATTAGATGGTGAATGCAAGAACATAAAATAAGCCAAGGGATAACAAATGATGGTTGATTTTCAGAACCAAGTTGAAACACTTTAATAAGCTAGAGAAGGAGTACTATCTTTCTGGCCTGTAATTGTTTATTATATATTAAAATACTAAAGTATAGGCTAATTTCTGCAGTTCCTTGGACTATTGTTAGATTAGTCTTCATTTGCCTGCCTCTAATTCTGCCTTTTTGTTTAATATATTGTGTCACTTATCAGTGTTAACACTGATCCATGCTTCATGTTAATGACATATGAAATAACAGAAATGACCCACTGATACATTACAGTGTCCCATCACAAAATGTGTCATATCAGAAAGTGTTCTAACTAAACACTACCCGAGTCAAACATTTATTCTCTTACTAAGGCAAGTCCGCTAGAGCCTTTTTCTTTGGGATAGCAGCTGTGGTCAAGTTTTGTGTGTGTGGACAATGCTTAGATGATTGTGAGTGCTATTGTAAGGTCAATAGTAATAACAGTTACTATTAATATTATAATAAAAGTGCAATTCTGAGCAGGAAAAAGTCCCCAACAAGTAAGTATCCATTCTAGTTTTCCAAATTATACTCTAGTAAGACAAGAATTGCTTAGGGAGTAATGGTTATCCCTTTTCAGCAAGGGTGGAGAGAAATCTTTGCTCCTTGAGGCCAGTGACAAATCTCCCAGTTGGTTTAGTCTTACTCCTGTAAAGCAGAAGTAACCAAACTTGTTTACCTGTCCTGGAAAGCAGCTGCAAAAAGTCTTCTGAAACAAAGGTTCTTCAGAGGGAAGGATGACCAAAGGGTGACAGTGTTCACACAGCTGTTAGTCCTCTCCATAGTGCTGTTTATTACACTCCAAGCAAATTAACCAGTAGCGTATGACATATGAAAAAAACGGTGATGGCAGCTGGACTGGATGGATCACAAGGAAGTGTGATACTAGGTGCAAAGGCAAAATAAAAACAAGAAATTTGGGACTTTCACTTCACTGTCATCACAGTTTAATGATGATTTCCTCTTTGTCGAGTGGTTTCACTGAAAAAGTTCATAAATGCATATGTGGAATGATAGTGACAAGTGTAATGGTACGTATGATTTAGTTGTAATATTGATCTGGCTCTTCTTCAGTGTGTCTTTTTTGGTGCTTGACTATCTTTGATTTTATATTCTTTAACTTTTTTACGTGGTGCACTGTTTTCTGAAACAAACATTTGTACTGTATATGATAGAAATGTTGAAGTTATCTTATTTTCATGTAACTTTTCTATTTCTTTGCAGCAATTTGGTAAAATCTTAGATGTTGAAATTATTTTTAATGAGCGAGGCTCAAAGGTAAGCAGTTGAATTCAACCATGGAATTTTTTAATTTGTTTAAAATATTTATATGAGTAAAAGGAAACAACTGCACTGCTGTGAAAAATAATGTCTGAAATTCCATGTTAGTGAAAAAAATCTTCTGAGCTGTCATTCAGTTTCCTAAGCAGTATGAAAATCATTGGACTCATTTTATATCTTTTAAAGCGGGTAATTTTACCTACTCCAAACTGTCATCTGTTTTACGGGAACGTTGATTTCTGCTGTCTTTATTCTTCAATGGTAATTATCTTGTTTATTTTACAAGATGAGTCCATACTTACAGATATTTGTAGGCAGGTTTGTATTAGTACAGGTATTTTTTCCCCTATTGAAATGAAAGATGATAATGATACCTAATAACTATCCTCTTTAGTAATTAGCTGAGAAAATATGTGGTTGTTCTAGATTATCTAAGTGCAGATGTTTTCCTCTTTAGTTAAAGCTTCAGTACACCAACCCTTTGAAAACAATCTATTTAACATTTATTTGACTAAGAGTTCTTATTGTATTGCAAACATTTAATTTTTTCTGAAAATTACTTTGCCTTAAATGCATACTTCAATTTATTCAATATTTAAGAAATAAAGCAAGATAGAATGGCTATGACTGCATTAGCATCGTTAGCTGCTGCAAAACTATAGCCCAGTATGCTTCACCTATGATATCAGCTGCATTATAAGGGTTTATGTGTATGTCATATGCATGATATCTTTTTCCTTTTCCTCCCATGTCAGACACACTAGACTGTTTATCCACCAGTGCTTCAGTCTTCCTGTAACTCTTATATATGATTTATAATTAGCAATGGAATTCTTTTCCTGTTACAGACATACTGTAATCTGACATTTTTTTAAGAATCAGATATATCATAAATCTCTTTTAAATCAGATACATTTTAATTCTGTTAATTTTTCCCTTATGTGTTTGTATTTATATTCTAAATTTAAAACTATCACCTTTTTTTTTCTCTTAAATAGAATAGGTGAAATTTCCTGGTTTAGATTCCAAAATTATTCTGACTTTCATTAATTAGTCCCCTCGCTTGCTAGCCTAAACCCAGTTGGAACATTTACTGTTTTTTCAGTAAACTCCTGAAATGTATGGAATTTGGTGGCTTAGAATCTCCTACTCTGGCTGAAATTTATTATCTTTAAATTATGGCTGTTCAATAGCGTTTGCAAAAGATGTTGATTGTCCAGAACCTGCTTCTGCTGGATAGTAGTATAAATTTAAAAAGACATCTCACGCTTGCCACCTTTGATTGGTTCTGTTGAAGATGGAGTGGAACTGAGTACGTGTCGTGGTGGTGGTGGTTTACACATTCGTTTAGCCATTAAATCTTACATGTGTAGGACTTTTAACGACCACGTCCGCATCAGACTGCATAAGTATAAGGCTTTTTAAAAATATTTGGGGGGTGGGGTGAGGAGGTATTTCCGAATTGAGTTTTTTTTAATAGTGATCTTGCAGTAGTGAAATCATCCCAGTGCCTTGTGCTAAAAAAGAGCTCCTGGAAAGGATTTCACAAGGAAGAGGTTTTTCTAGGTAGGCTTGTAATGTCTCTACCTCAGTTATAGCTTTGTGTTAGAGACTCTAAGACTATTCTTATTTAAAACTTCTACGCTATCCAGTGCTGTGTTGGTGCATCCAAGCTGGCTCTGGGTAAGCTGCTGAAGATACTTAAAGCAGTTCTGTGATGGATCTCATTGCTTATGTATGCTGCTTCTCCTCTTGTTTAGAGTTATTTCAGGTATAGCTACATAGTATTTTGATTTGCAGAAGTACCCTTAGATTCTCTCAATTAAATAAAAAGTTAAAAAACAGGATTAGGAATAAGAGGAACTTTTTTTTTTTTTTTGAAATCTGATCATTTCATGTCCATTCTGTAGGAGTTAAGATGCACCAGATTAAAGTCCCGTAAGTGGCAGTACTTATCTATGTTTTAATAAAATCCCACTGAAACTGAAAGGCCTGCTAAGTGGTCTCAAACTGAGTACAGGTAAAAAAGTGTGCAGGATCAAAATTCAAATTTATTTCTAGCTGCAGTTTGGCGTAAAAGAATTGCTACAAATTTTTTTTGTTTCTATTTTTGTTTATTTCTTTTTATTCCAATAATTAATGTTTTAAAAGATTCTTGCAAAAACAACAGAAGTAAGCTCATTTTCATACCATAATAGTTAAGAAAAATGGAATTGCAGATTCAAAAAACATAATGCTGCAGCACCACCATAAAGTATACAATAATTCTGCAGAAGGGAGTCTCTCCATAAAAGAAACCCTAAAATAATACAAGTTTCATACTACAAATTTCTGTTTGTGGGCATAATATTAAGGTAACTTTGCTAGAATCATATGGCACACTGATGACATTTGAAACTTTTTTTTTAATAGGAATTGCAAGAATTTCAGTATTGTTTTGGTGTAGATCTTTCTTACAACCTGTGTTAAATAAATGAGGCTTTATTTGCCAATTTTAATTTCCAATTCTTGAAGCTGTTGATTAAAGTAACATTAAAAACTGCTAGTAACTCACCTTTCTCTGCATTTACCACTCACCTTGGAAGTACAATTTGAAATATAGCTTCCATTACTGTGTGTATTTTAACGCTGCTCTGCTGTTTTAACACTGAAGCTCTCCAAGGAGCTGCGAATGGCTTTTGTCTCAGGCACAGTTGCAAGGCTGCAAAGATACAGGAACATCAAGTGCCATTTTTTTACAGTTGTAAATTAATGTTCTATACAGCTACATATATACTTTGATAAATCTGTGTGTATATGTATTAATATATATCTAGTATATATTATGTGAACATATATTTCTTCAAAGAAGAGGAGCTCCAAAGCACCTCCCAAATTAAAACATAACCTTCTCATGTACTAACTTGGCTATTATTAAATCATTTGACAGACTTTAAAAATAACATGCAGAAATCTACATTACTAGTTAATAAAATACATAGTATGCTAAACTAAAGTAGCTGTTGAATCAGCTGCATATAAAATTAATGTTAACGTGTTTGTGTAGATATTTGAATGTGTGATGAATGAATCTATGTTCTGTGATTGAGCTTCTGTGTCAGCTAGGTAAAATTAAAGATTTGCATAAATAATAAGAGCTTAATTTAAATAGTGTTAATTATGAGAATAAGTACAACATAAGAAATTAAAAAATTACAGTGAGTATTCTTTTCAGAATCTTTGAAGTTCCTGTCTTATCTTGGCTTGTGGCTCCACTTCATATCTTTTTCTCATTTTTTAATACAATTAGGTTTTTATCTTTCCCTTCAATTGTTTGAAAAAAATTAACTGGTAGTGCTGTGAGCTAAGAAGACTGATTCAAAATTTTGACTAAACAACTCCCACCAAATGTTTGCAATTCTGAGAAGGGGCAGTTGTTCAGCAAGGAGGAGAAGGGAGAACAAATAGAATTGGGCTAATTTTTGCTATTGCATGGAGCTAGGCTCCTTGGATCGATGGTTTCAGTGGTGTTTTCTGCTGTGAAATTTTCTTAATGGCATCTTAAATTATGAGCTTTTTTTATGGAACTTTTACAAGATGGGAGGGAGCAGCTGAAGAAGAAATAAAAGTTGAAAGTTGAGGATGGGTTTAGGTATAAGAGAAGCCTATGCAGGCATCTAAAACATAGGGATTAGTACTGAGGAGAGGGATTTACTTTCTCTCAAACACTCCTGGTGCTTTGGGGAAAAGAGAGTTACATCCTCAGCGTCTCGTGACAAGCGAGGTCATGGCTTTGTGCTAAAATTGTGGAGGGTAGAGTGGAGAAAATGGGTGGAATCAGGTGTTCCGAGAATGGCTTCAGCTAGAAGTGGAACTGCTGATAGAGCACTTCCGAGCTCAGGCTTCAGTGTGCCTTTAAAAGAGACACAAAAAAAAGAGCAACAGACAATGTGTTTAAGCTACTTTGAAGAGAATGGAACATAAACTGCTACTGTATATAAATGTCACTTTCTATGTTATAAACTGGCGTAAATAAATGTGTTCTTTGAGTAGGTAAAATAACCCAAATAACCCACATAATGATCCTGATAGTTTCTTAACTCTTTTTGTCAATTAATTAATTTTGTGGTCCATATCCATTGTTTTTCTCAATGCTTGCTGTCAGTTTTGCCTTAGTTTCATATTTGGTCTCTTTTTGTATAAAATGTATAATGAATTGTATAAATATCTTCACTTCCTTTTTTTTTTCTTTTTTTTCTTTTAATTTTTTAATCAGTCACTATGTGCATAATAGGTAGAACTTGGAAAGAGTAAGTGGGTGAATACTGACCACAAAACTTAGTGAATGGACTGGAGAATGAGGAGACATGATGCATGGCTTACTGCTGAGGAACAGAACAGAGGAAAGCCTTAACTCCATAGTTCAAGCTAAAGTAACAGTAAAGAAACAGGTTGTAGTAGGACTTCAAATATGTGCAGCGATGCCTATTCTTTATAAAGCGGCCATGTGTAACTTGCAAATGTTCTTGTTATGAAACACCAAGGATATAGAAGCTTATTTTTTCGGATAACTTTGGGAAAGCATGCAAAGGCATAGTAGTGCTAATGTAAGAATTACTTCAAAGGGTTGGTGTATGTTTCTAAAATGTTTTCCGATGTCTGATTTTTTCAAAAATATTTACCATTGTAAACAGTGTTTAGTTTAACTTAGCACATTATAAAATTATCAAAATAATTTTAGTAGGACTGGAAATGTTTGTTTAGCCTAATATTATAAAGCAAAGCATTTGTCATAGGCAGAACTTCATATTTGTCAAGTATTCTCCTGTCCCACTAACACGGGATTCTGGAGTTTTACCAGTTGCATGTTCTGTATGTGGAAAATAATATACATAAACAGTAAATGAACCAGTTGAACTTATTCAAAACGTTTGCATTTTTATTCCTTTTTCAGAGTTTCTTTTTCTATTCACATCATGTGATTTTATTTGATCTGTTAATACAAGAAAGTTTATACTTTGTTCTAAAAGTACTTTTGTTTTGTTGATGGTTTTCTTTTCTTTTTTCTTTTATAAAAAAATAAGTAAAGGCTGTATAGTTTGACAAAAGTTTAAGTTACCCTAGTGTTGCATGGGAATAATGTTTCTTATGATCACAACAGCATGATTAAGTAGGCAATGTTTTAGAGTATATTGACATTCACTGTTGAATTTTGTGCATATGTTTTTTATTTCGTTGAGAGATCTGCATGTCATTAAAATGTGGTTCATTTTCTTTTCTCATTAGTTCATTTTTTTCTATGTGAAGACACTGTAATTTATTTTAATTTCATTTTCTTATTGTTAGATTTATTTTCCTGTGTAGTGACATGTAGAAAGGTATTTTTGGTATCATTCTTTGAATTTCTCAGAGGGTATTATCTAACTGATGACAGAAAAAATTTGTTCACATTTGTCGCTTATTTATTGCACATCTCAATACAATTATAATTTTTCTAATTTGCATGTTACAGAAATGAAGCAAGGACAAGAAAATATTAAATTAAAGAGAGAGAACATAAGCAAACAAGTGGTCATTGACTGAAATAATAATGTGCATGTTGTTTTCCCCCCTTCTCCCTCCTGCATGCAGGGATTTGGTTTCGTAACTTTCGAAAATAGTGCTGATGCGGACAGGGCGAGGGAGAAATTACACGGCACCGTGGTAGAGGGCCGTAAAATCGAGGTGCATGTTCAAAATATTTTCCTTTTCATCTTTTTTATAAATGTCTGCTTCACTCTCATTTGTTGTTTCAGATGCATCATTGGTGTCTTCTGTGTGCTCCCCTTTCCCCTTCCCATTGTTTATATATATATATTTATATATAAAGAGAGAGAATCTGGCCTTACTTGGGTTTTTTATTATTATTTCTTTTGTAATTATTATTATTATTATCATTATTGCTGAAAGGTGGATGACAGAACTGAAAAAAAATGAAAGCTTTAATATTTTGAAGTTATTATTTTGGATGTTTTGTAAATCAATGGGTGCAGTAGATTCCAAAAACCAGCCAACAAAAAAAAAGAAAAAAAATTGAGAACAAAAAAAAAAGTGTGACAGACAAAACAAAAACAAACAAAAGGTTGGGTTTTTTTTTGTTTTGGTTTTTGGTTTTGTTTTTTTTTTTTTTTTTGCTGCAGGGTTGATGCGGGATCCACAGTGGCTTTCAAAAAATTCAGATTGGGAAAGAAGCATCCAAAAGATGTACAAGAAAAACTAACAAAGCCAGGCTAGAGACTGACCAATTTTAACATCTAATTTTTTAATGAAACCATCAGGCTACTTTGGCTGGATGGCCTGTGCCATTCGTATCTATTAAAAAGACAACACAAATGCATTTTAGTACCACTGGATCCCCTTCAATACTGCCTCAGTCGTATTTGTTAGAATAAAAAAAATACCAATTGAAAATGCTGTCGTCTTTTGAGTAAGATGTTGCATATTTTGCCTTTTCATTTTCCCCCTTCGACGGTAGCGCTTAGGGCCCTCACCAAACTCTCAGTAACCATGGTAACTGTATACATACCCATGCTGGCGATGGTGCTGAATGGTAAGTGGAGAAGTCCATCTGCCGTTTCACGTATTTAGCGCTGATATACCACGTGAATTTTTTTGACTTGTTGTATTAAGTTTTCTTGATGCTACATTTTTTTCTATATTGGTACGCCTGTAATTGAGTGTACGTTTTAAGCAAGCCTGGGAGGCACTGATTGGATTGAGGATATGACTTCGTGCACATCTTACTCAGATTGTTAATTCCATATTGTGTTAAATAATGCACCCTCTTTTTATCCTTTTGTTAGCTGTGACTTTAAAGCTTGAATGATTTTGTTAATTCTTGCAATGAAAAAGGCTCTTGTTCCAAGTGTTGAATGCTAGATGTTGCTTTTCCAATGGTACTTCTCTTCTAAAGGGTTATGTTGCACACTGCTAAAATCGTTTGTCCCTTTTTTTGACATTTTCTTTGTTTCCTTGTAAAAAGCCCTCTTTAGCCACTGCATGTTCCTTCATATAATCTTTTTTTCTGTTTTGAGTATTTATTGTATCAGTGTTATCATGGAATACAAGCATGCTCTTAAGTCTTAAATTATGCAGTACCTTTTAATTTGCTTTTAATGTCTTTTTATTAAAGTTTAAATGATATGATGTTGCTTTATTGAAATGATTTGTAAGTTAAAATGGTTATGAAAGTAAATGTAATTATAAATAGTATGATTTTGTTATGCACCTGTTGCCTTCTATAAATTAAATTGCATTTTATTTTTACACGACTAATAGCAGTAATAATGCATGCATCTAATAGTAACATGGACCCTCCCTGTAACCCTTTCTAATCCAGTGTTCTATGTGCTTAGGTAAATAATGCAACAGCACGTGTAATGACAAATAAAAAGACCGTCAACCCTTACACGAATGGTAAGTGCATGAGATCTCAGTGCTTTGTTTTCATGTCCATGCATGTGAAACCTCACTCTTCTGCTGAATGGGTGGACTCAGCTACTCATGAAGTGTCATAGTCCGCATCTCCTGCATCTCCATGGGCTCGGGCTTTGTCTAGGGACCTAAAACACAATATGGCTGGGCATAAATTCCATCTGTTCAAGCTAATTCACAGCCATGTGGGCATAGCATGCATCATTTTGGCTGATTGGAATCTGAGTGTTTAACTGCAGTGGCTTTTGTATAGGAAAATATACCTGATAGGAAAGCGTTGCTCTCTTCTAGTTTTGTGCAGTGTTAATGTTGCGAAGAATGAACTAATCGGAGGATTCAATTTTGCTTGGATGATGGCGGTCGGGACATCAGTAAGAAGAATGTCTCTGTCAGGCATGACATACTTTTTAGTACCAAGACACGCATCTAGTTAAAGATAATTTTCTGTGTCTTCTTTCCACGATTTGTTAGAAGTAAAGAGCAAACTGTAATTGGGTGCTGCTTCCAGCTTTTTTTCCCCTGGAAAAATGTAAATTCCAAGCTATCTAAAAAAAAATCATTCTAATACTGACCTAAGTTTGTATAATGTTGTACATTAATGATAGAAAAATAATCCATAGATATTTGAGGGGTTTGGAAGCGATACATTTTAAAAATGTTTCCTTTGGCAGTGTTTGATCATGTGCTTGAGTTGTTTGCATTTGCTAGTTCAGAAAATTCTAAGCAAGTTCCTAACTCAACAACATCAAACAATAATACATCAACTGAAGTTAATTGCAGTTACATTTTCCAGTTTTACTAGACTGTATTATTTGCTTTTCAATTTAATTTAGTTTTTCCCATCCAGTAGAAAGCAGATGAAATCTGCACATACATCAGTAAAGGTTTCCACAGGTAGATTAGACTCTCCTCCATTTCAAAATATAATGCATCTTATTTTCCATATCTGAGGTCTCATTAGTGAGGTTTTGCTAAAACCCAGAGCAAACAGTGGCTTTATTTTTTAATGAGAGTGTCATAATTTTTTCCTACCACAGTAAAAATAAAATATAGTGGTGGTTTTCATTTGACATGTGATAGTTGAGCTAGTTGAAATGATCTGGAGAAGAAGAGTCTGAAATGCCCCGTGCTTTCTCAGAAACTGTTTTCTTCCTTGTTTTGTATGTAAATGTGGAACTTGGCAAATGATGCAGATGGGAAAATCTCCTTCATTTTTACTGGCTTTAAAATATCTCAGTGAATCTAGCAAAAGAGACACGAAGCTTGAATGGATCACATAACAAGAGTTTGTTGCAATAAGGAGCTAAATTAACTATATGCATACGATACTGTGACCTTTGTCTGCTATATTGTAATGATAAAAGGATAAAAGTAGTTTTGTTATGAATGATGTTGTATATTTTGTATTCGTATTATCCTAAGGCTACAAACCTGTTAATTAGCAAATAACACATTACCTATCAGCACATCCAGTGCTGAAGAAAGGGAATGCTGGAAATAAAGATGTGAGATTTTTACAAATCTGGTTTTAGAGGAGGTTCACCTCTGTGTCCTACACTGCAGGGCTACTTAGGTCATGCATTAACATTTATTAATATCCAAAACCAGAATGATGAAAATCTGCTGTTAAGTGTTTCCCACTTGAAGTGTTTTGTGTCTGTCATTTTCCACCCTCTTCCATCTGGACTAGATCCCACCAAAAGTATGAAGCATCCTGTTTAGTGCATAAAAATTAGCATTTATGTTTGTGAATCCATACGTGCAAGGTGTGCATGGATGTACATCCAGTACATGCAGGATGTTGTTTTGCACACCAAGGCAAACTCTAGCTGTAGTTCATACTTTTTTTTTTTTTTACTTTTTTTTAAACTGTCTGAGATCCCCTAAAGTAAACACACAAGGAGAATCATGTCCTTGCATAATCATTACAAGTGTCAAGGAATGAAGTGTAGATGTGCAAGGTCCTTCGTTTAGTCTAATCAGTGCTTCTGTTATCAGTCATCCTGACGTTGTATGATTATAGTTCTTTATCATTTTGTCAGGAATTAACCAGTGCTATAGCTGATTATTAAAGATTGTTGTTGTCTAAAGTAAAGGTCTCATCTTCTAAATAAAATATAAGGCTAGTTTCTTCTACAAGCATATTAACATTTGCAAGATGCTTCTGACGCAGATAGCCAGAAACTTTTTGTTTGCACATGCCTATCTCTTCAGACCAACTTCTTTTTTAACGTGTGGCTTTATTTTTCAAAGAGTGTGTGGTGACTGACATGTTACTGTAAAATAATTACATTCAAAATGTAATTGGGGCACATGTTGTATTATGTGGAAACATCAGACGCTAATATTTATTGCAATTTAAAAATAAGACACACTCTGTTTTGTCTTTCATTCCTGAATACTGCTGGTTGTCTGATAACAGGGCTCATGTTGTAAATATGATTGCAAAAGTCAGTAGATCTTAAAGCACAAAAACCTAGACTTTTTTTTAATATCTGCAGCTTCATTGAAATAAGTTTTTTGCTTTTGTGTCCTAGATGGTTTTTGGAATGAGTATGCTTTCCAGTGACTTTTGATGATTCCTGAAATGAGCAGTTAATAAATGCTCAGTTGCTGGGAGAGCTTTTTTTTGTGCAGGTTTGTTATCAGACAGGATGATTTTGATGCCTGACCTCATGTGCTTTGGAGATAGAACTGCCTTTTCTTTGCAAATAAATTCAGTGACAGGGATTCTACTTGTTGGCAAAAATATTTCGGAGACATTTTTGGAGTTCCAACCTATCCTGTTCACAGTTATACTTTCTTCTGATGCCCATATTGCAATTCAGGATGCTCATCCCAGTGTTGTAGGAAATAGGGAATTATGTGCAACAAGTAGATTCAGAGAACCACAGCAATGAATGAGGAACATGAAACAGAGATCAGTAGAGGGATACATATGTTTTAAAGTTTATACTTGCGGTGCCTTGAATTTGAGCCTTCAGCTGATCTAAACTTAGATTCAAATTCACAGCTAGTGACTGTTACCACAGTTAAATTCCCTCCCACTCCCCTTTCCTGCCCTCTGTCTGCAAACAGGAGGAAAGCAAACGGTGTGACAGGGCTTCTTTCCTGCCAAAGCATTCCTCCGGCCACAGGTGCCTGAAGTCTGGCCTGTGAAGTGAAAATAATCCTCTCTGCATCGCTGTGCCCCACTTTCTGCCAAAGCTTGTTACACTGTGCAGCCTGACTATTTCCTTCCCTTTAGCACACTTAACCTGTATTTCTTTTGATGACTATGGGGTGGGGTTTTGGGGCAGGCAGAGGGGTTGTTTGTTTCCTTGTTCGGTTTTTAAGTTTAGAGCTTTTACAGTTTCAACTTGAGGAGGAGATTAATATTGTGACAGTAAGAAAAACGCACAGAATTACACCCACTGCAGAGAATTTGCCTCCTCCAGCTGCTGAAGTAGGGTTACTTGGCAGTTGCTCGCTCAGATACATCAACTCCTATCACACTTGATTACCCACACAGCTATGGGCCAGCACATTGCTAGCTGACAAGATAAAGTAAAGTTTAATTACTGTTACTTTCACGATGAATGAAGTATTTCCCTGTATAAGCTTCAAAAAGTTAGATGAGACAGCCATCACTGTGAAAAGGGGTAAGGAACTGAAAGATGAGAGTGGCTTTCAGCTGTGAAGAGCAATGTGCGTCTTCCGAGAGTTTTTCTTTCTCAAATTGTGGTGCTCTTAGCGTAACTTAGAAGCTGAGAGGTGTCTGTCAGCTTCTTTGACAGCAAAAGCTGACAGATCTGAAATTCGGTCCAGTCTTTCATTTTGGATGGCGTTGATCAGTGGTCTTTTGAGGAAGTAATGAATTTGAAATAGTAAATATTCCCTAAGCTATAAAAAGTTATATTTTTATTGAAAGTCTCAAAATTTGGATGATTTTCTATCACACAAAATTTGCCTAAGAGTATTTGTTATACCATGATATTCCTGAATACAATCCTGTAGTATGCAAAATTGAAGGGTCAGGTAGAAATCCGGTGATCTTTTCAGGAGGAAAGTCATTTTAACCCTTCTTGGTTGGCCATTTTTCAGCTTCCATAATTGTCTTTTAGGTGCGTACAGCAGCTGCAATTACTTCTGCAGAGCAATTGCATGCAGCGCCGCTCTTTACTCTGTTTGAACTTATTAATGAGTTGCATTTTCAAAAACACCCCTCACCTCCGTTACTGAACAGTTTATTACTGGTAAATAGTTACTGTGCATCAGATAGAGAGAGCAGTATTTTTAAACGGTAGGAATAGTTTTCTTTTGTGTTATTATTGAGATTTTGTATTACACTTTTTCAGTCTCGTAACGCATTATGGTTTTATGACCTTCTACTGTGCTTTTGCATTACATGATATGGCCAAGGCAGAAACAAGCCTCAATACAGTTTGCATTTAAATTCTTCTAATCTTGGCTCTTCTGATTTTGAAAAGCCTTGTTGTCCCTGTCTTGATTGTATTCTGTTTCCAGCAGCATAGTTACGGGATCTATTTAAAGTACCATAGTTCTTGAGTTCACAAGATGCTTTTGCTCAGGTTTTTTTCATTATTCCCATTTTACAAATGGTGCTTCCCACTCCTCTGATTCAAGTGCGCTTTTGGAAAACCTCTAATTTTTTCAGTCCCAGTAGTTCAAATAATTGTTCAAACACTTAAAAAAAACCCAACCAACCAAAAAAAAAAACCCAGAACAAAAAAACCATGCGTGTGGGTGGGGGGATGTTGTGTGGAGTTTGGAGTTAACTGGGAGTGGATCTACCTGTGGCTGAGCAAAACACAATAATTGGCACTTTACCACAGCTGAGGACACTAATGAGTTTGCCAGTGTTTTCTCCGGCTGTTCTCTTACCCCTTCCCCTTCAGTTCCTTCAGTATGGCTGTCTTTAGCATCATGTATGCTTTGAACACAGGCCCTGCTTCTGCAGCGAGCCTGTGCACTCTGGGCTTACCTGGAACTGCTGCATCGGGTGTAAGGACACAACGGCAATTATTTCGATTTTGGCCAGAACACACGATACAGAATATCTGTTGGTTCTGTGCTTTGGTTTTATGCCAGCTGTGGGAGGACAGTGATTATTTAAGACAAAGGCAGTGGCTGCATTTGTACTGCTTAAGAGCTTTGCAGAATGTGACTGCAGCATTTTCTTACATGCCAGCTACTCTACAGCAATATGCTAACAGCATTTATCAGGTGTAAATGCAGGCGGTACAGTCACTTTCGGTACATGCCTGTAATTGTCCTGTTTCAGTGCAAACAGTCTGATGTACAAATGCAAATGGAAAAAAAGACTCCGGCATTTGCCTGGGATCCCACAGTGCGCAAATCTCTTTCATGTCACAATAGACATTTCCATACAGTGTCTACGCTTTCATTTTTCCCAGGGTAGACTCAGAATGCTCAGATTATTTGATTGCCTTGTAAGCTACACTAACACATGCTTATCCGAAACATTTACGTCCAGCAAATGAACTGTTTTGGCCTCTCTGGCTTGTAACCAGAGAGTTAAAGCAATGAAAAAGAACTGATCTACTCTGGTACTACACGATATAGGGATACTTGAACTAGTTCTGACTTAATTCCATAATTTAAGGGAATAAGTCCATGGCAACTGTGCATTGCAGCCAAGGTAATTCACCTGATAATTTCCTCCAGTACCACATGTCCAGAGAATGCCTTGTTTCATTACTTATTTCCATACTTCAGAGTCTGATATTAAAGATCAGTAATCTAAGATGCCTATAAAACTTTCATTAAAATGACCTTTTTTGAAGCCATTTTATCTGTATACCTCTATACAAAAATAAAATTAAAAAATAATTACTATCATTACTGATGGCAATATTAACTCTGTTATGTTTTTATGTTTGCTGCAGGCTGGAAATTAAATCCAGTTGTTGGTGCAGTTTATAGTCCAGAATTCTATGCAGGTAAGGATTACGCTATAGTTGTCCATGCCATATTTTATTTTAGTATTCTTTAAAACATGCAAAAGTACAGAATATGCGTTTGGTGTGAGGTTTGGTTTCTTTGTTTGATTCACGTTATCTGCAAGTCATTTACAGATTTGTGATGCAGGATTTTAAGTTACCTGGGCATACTAAAGTTTATATAGAAGATATATGAATACCTTTTTATTGGAAAGTAGATAGTATAACATGAAATGTACTGCAATATCCAAGTCTTACATGAGATTTTATTTTATTTATATTTTATTTATGTTTTATTTTATTTTATATTTCAGTACAGTCACTTTCCTCCAGGAATTATTTAAGCCTGGTGAGCAACAACAATAAAAAAATCTATCTATAAATATATATTTTGTGTATATACATGTACATAGACACACATAGGTATAAAGTATCTGTGTTCATAATTTTTTCAGGAACAATTTTTCTTTAAATTTTATATTTAGTTGTTCAGTTTCTTAAATTTTTTGTATTTTAAATCTATATTATGACTTGAGTCTTCACTGAGACCGAATTCTGACCCTGGTTACAATTTGGAGTTAATGAGATACAGTCTTTTTCTGCTGGAAGTCAGTCATGGCTAACAGTTTCTAAATATGGTTTAGCAACAGTACTGAAAACAAGCATGGTTGTACTCCAAAACGCAGTTGATTTCAGAGGAATTTGAGTCCTGCCCATAAACATAATCACTAGCAAGTCCAAAAAAGCCATTTTTTGAAAGCTAATAGTTTACATCTGAGACAGAAATAACCACTGTAAATCCAAATGTTTCTAATAGGTAATAAAGTTGCCATCCTTTCTTAGGTTCCAAAATCATATGTAAGTCTTCCATGATTTTCATGAGAAACTGGGAATTTTTCAGTTTTCCATTTGGATCTGTTTTTCAGTTGCCTGGGTGTGTGTATACTGGATACAGATACCTAATCATGTTTTAAGAAACAAAAATATTTATCCATTGTCACACACTTAGGTAGTTGAGAATAAAGAGGTAATTGTAGAATAC